AAGGCTTTAGACTTTTGCTGCAGGTAGGAATCATCTGGGAAGCTTTGACAGATGGGCAGAATGCCCAATCCCTCTGGCGCACCCCTAGAATTTAATTGAGCAGGGGTACAGCCTGGGCATCCAATTTTTGCAAGTTCCCTACATGATTCTAATGGGTAGCAGGTGCTGACAGAACTCTCACCTCGCTCAGGGAGATAGATTAGCTGCTCTGTGACTTCTAGGGACGGAAGGGCCACAGATGGGCTTGCCCTCCTGATGACAAGAGGTACTTTGCTCTCTCCCTCTCTGCCAGCAGTGGTGAACCTCTGGCACATGTGCTGCAGCAGAGACACAGAGCCCTCTCTGCCAGTGCATGCGACAAGTTGTCCTTGCACCGCCCCAGCAGCAGAGTATGGGATAACAGCGCAGCATTGGCACTTTGTGGTGAATAAGTGGGCACTCAAACTCTGAAGAGTTTTCCATCCCTCCCTGCAGGCTCCAGTTCTGTGAACATCCGTTAGGTTACCTGGGACAAAAGAACGAGCACCTCCACTCCTGGCATACGTACCAGTCGCCTTTACACCTGCAATTCTGGGTCACTTCAGTCCTTCTCCCAATGCCCCACATAAACTCCATCTGTTTGAATGATCCACACTCCTCCTCAGTTTGATTAACTGGCCATCTACAAGGCATAAATAGCAGGCAAAGCTCAAATACACCCTCTTTATTTGGTGAGACAACGTACCAGGACGATGTTAATGTTAAGACAGCAAGGTGTTGTTTTTTGAATGGTGGAGTCCAAAGTTGGGTTGTCATTGCTTTCTGGAGAGCAACTCCAAGTAGGGGAGTGGGAGACAGTAACCGAGGGCCGTTCAGAAGCCTCCACCACTTTCGCCACCTTTGCCATGACTGGAATTCCATCGATAATGCCAGTAATGTTAATCTTGGAAGAATAATTAAGAATCTACATTTTCTATTAGAGTATAAGCTCCTATTGTAACGGGGGACCATATTCTATCCCTTTTGGAGTCTTTCACCATTTTAACCACCTAATTTTCCTACTTTTATCCTGCAATAATGTTTATGCGGTCAACATAATAAACTTCAAGTTCATCATCAATTTATTGAGTAGCTACTATGTCTCGGGCTCAAAATAGGTACCTCCATGTTATATTGTCCGATCTTAGTATGACTATTTCGTATTAATATTGGGATTGTTATTAAGTGTTAAGATATATGCTAACTCTTTTAGGCAAAGATATCTCAAAACACAATGGGTTAAACAAGGTGTGAGTTTCTTTCTCAAATAATATTCCATATTATCATCCACCAAACAAGTGTGGAGTTTGTTTCTTGGCTCGGTAATCCTTACCTTGGTCCAGGATGGCTACCTAGGCAATGAATGGGCACAGAAGCAAAGCCAGGGCTCATAGGCACATTTCTAGAAGTAGCTGATGGACACATTTTTGTTCACATCGTGTTGGCCAGAATTCAGTCACATGGCTATGCCCATATGCAAGGCAAGCTGAGAAATAAAGTTGCTAATTAGGTGGCCACGTATCTATCTAAAACTCAAAATTGATATTATTAAATAAGGAAGACTAGATACCGATGGCGAATCTCATAAGAAACCTCAGCCCCTTGGGTAAGTAATTTAGTTCGTATTGCAGTCAACCGTCTGAGTCAGGTGCTGAGCTGGACACACTCCATTGGATCCATTTGCTCAATTAAATCAGGAGGGGAACGTGCAGACCAGATTACAGGTAAGAAACCTGGATGACAGAGCACTTATAAAGCTAAGAAGCAGCAAGGTTAGTGTCTCTTGAATCCAGGTCTATTTGCAAGTGTTTCTTCCCATTATATCCTACTGCTTTTCTAGTAAGCTTCAAGACATCCTTGGTGACATTTTTTTGTGGCTGTGTCTCTCTTACAATTTCTGTTACAGCACTTATTGCAGTAGACACGTTCTTTCTATTGAAGGCTCTTTTCCAGGTTCCCCCCATCTTTGGGTATTTGTGGATCATGTCTTTGTCATTTTATACCATACCACAGGGCCTGGTATTGGTACATGCTGGGACAAAGGATGCAATGAGTCAATGAGAATGTCCCCAATGAGAATGTCAGTTAAAATCAGCCCTTTCAATGAGCACCTCCCTAATTCTTCTCTCCAACACTTAGCTCTTTCCCAACTTTACCACACTAAACATCTCATTCCAAGTCTCCGGTTTCCAACTCTAATACCAGGCACCATTAAATAATAAGTTCAACTGATTCTAGAACAGCACCCTTTTACATACTACAGCAAAGGTCTTCCAGGCTGAGATTTTGCTTCAACCGAACCTCCATCCATCCTGATGCTCTAGTTACGTATTTCCTTTTGTGTCATTCATAGGAGGAAAAGGCTGTTTCCTATTTCAAGATGCATAAAAAATGATTCTTGAGAAAGGAAAAGATACCAGCTCCAGGCTGAGACCATGAAGACTTCAGCAATCCTCTCAGGGGTGCTGCAGACCTCTGCCATGATGCTGGAGACAGCCCTGGGCAGACCTGAGCCCCGCGTGTGCCCTGGCTCTGGGGAGGAAGGAGCTGAAACCTCTGAAGGCTTGCTTCCTTCCCCAGTGACACAAACAATGGGGTGTGTGGGTAGAACCAACCAAATTAATCCAAGAAGGGATGCAGTGAAGCAGAAGATGCCTTTCCTTGCAAGCCTCACTGGGACTCACTCTCCTTATTTGACAGATGATTAAAAATTGGTTTCTTACACAAAGTGCTTATAATTCACAGGGGAGTTTCTTCCCTCCCTACCCCCAGGCAACACATGAGAAACTTTTGAGAAGTTACCTTTAAGAATTCATGCAAGGGGCTGACGAGATAGCTCAGTGGACTAAGTGCCTGCTTAAGCAAGTGCAGGGATTGGGGTTTGATCCCTGGCACCACATGCTGCTCTGGCCCCGCCCCCAGGCACCCTGAGCTGGTCACTGAGACCCGATGTGGTGGTGTACACCTGTAATCCCAGTGCTGGGGAGGCTGAAAACAGGAGGACCACTACAAGTCTGAGCTGCATAGTGAGACCATGTAACAAATACGTAATAAAATAAAACAAAATAAGATAACTAAAAAATAAATTCATGCAAGTTTGAATTCAATTTCACAGATACTACAAATTGTTTTAATATGTACATATTACTCTTCTCAAAATTATTCATGTACAAGTGATATTCCAAGGAAACACCTCATATTGACCTAGGAGTTAGTAGAACCTTGGCTGGAAGGCTTATACTCTTGGGTGTACCCCCTCTCTTCCAGGAGGAGCTCAGGATTGGATGATGTCCAATATCTTTTTGAAGGTCTGAAACTGCTTTGTGGGCAGTGAAATATTATCAACAGTGTAGGCTGATATATTTGGATTGAAATCATAAATTCAACTGTTTCCACAAACTCCAACCAAACAAAGGATTTCTGCACATCTGATTCACCCAGCAACTATAAGTTTCCACACTGTTTAGTATGTATACTTTCAAGAGCCCCCAGAGGTTATTGTGTTTTGTTTGATTTTGAGACAGGGTCTCACTATGTAGTTCAGGCTGCCCTTGAACTCACTATGTAGCCCAGGCTGGCCTTGAACTCATGGCAAACCTCCTGCCTCCACCTCCCAAGTGCTGGGACCACAGGTGCGTGCCACCATGCTCAGCTCCTTAGCAGTTCCTTTCCAAGGCTGCGGCACTTAGAAATCCTGAGATACAATATATATAAATTCTTGATAATTCTTGATTAATCCTAAAGTCACGTACAAACATGAGCCATTACAGCAGGCAGTTATGATGAATGCCTAATATATCTGCTACCCCAGCTGGTTCTAATGGGACAATGAGTTTTGTACCTGGCGAAGGAAGGCACATGGATTCCTGTGAAACCCTAAGAGAGGTCGATAAGACTGGGTGTAACTCAGTGACTCAAGGGTGCAGCGCTTGCCTTACATGGATTCCAATTCCAGCACAAATGTAAAAGGCAGGGTTAGGGTCCTTGCAGGGCCCCTCCTCTCTGCTGGTCCCAGCACCCACCCCAGGCCCTGTGGGTGATGTCCTTTGACCAGGGTATTGCCTACCACAATACTGTTTTAGGGATGTGTGTGTGTCTGTGTGTCTGTGTGAAAGGATCCAGTCTTCTGGTGTCCTAGTGTGGCCAAATGGCAGGCTGGATTATGTTGGAGGCCCTAAATTAAGGATTTCATGAAATTAGATGCAAGCCCCATTCGCTTCTGTGTCCCTGCCTAGTTTCTGTACCGTATCCCAAGAGGTGAGGTGGAACTCAGCCTTCGGCTCACTGTGAAACAGAGGCTGGGGCCTAGAACGCACTAATATCTCCGAGGCTCCTTTACTCCCTGGACAAATACCAATTTGAGTGTGTCCTGCGTGCAAAGTGGCCTCCCAATGGAGCAGTAGTTTTCAAATTTAAGGAAATTCAATTTTATCGGCTTCAAGGTCTTGGCTAAACCCAGGACTTCGGAATCACAGATCCGGACCCCGGGATCTGGGTGGGCCTGGGAATTTGCATTTCTAATACACTCCTAGCCAAGGCCGAGGCTGCAGGCCCCGGGAGCATAGTTGGAGAACCTCTGGTGTGGGAACGGCAGGGGCCAAGTCTGCGACCCGTTAGGTCGCGCAGTAGGGCAGCTATGCTAAATGCACTGAGAGCGGCGCTTCTCTCTCGCCTTGGCAGGTCTGCGAAGGAAGGAGACAGGCTAGAATCGCAGAAGCCTGGGTCTGCCGTCTCCAGAGTGAAGCCGGGCCTGGGGTCAGATGTGCGTGTCCCTCCCCACGCAGGCACCCGAGGTGCTTGATCGCTGGGGACAGGCCTGGCTCACGCCCGCCTGTGGGGACCGCAAGACCTCGCCCTCCCGCCCGCCTGCGCTGCGCGCCGCGCTCCTCTCCTCCGGGCGGTGCCAGCGCGCGGGGCGGGTCCCCCAGACTCCCGGCCCTCCCCGGTCCCTCCCCGGGGACGCGCTCGCGCCGCCCCCGCTCTGTCGTCGCCTGAGTCTCAGTCGCTGCCCCGCTGGCCCGGCCTCGAGGCTCGGGGACCCCGGCGGTGCTTTAGTCCGCCGCGCGCCATGGCCCAGCCAGGCGAAGAGGAGGCCGTGCCCCGGCCCGAGGTGACAGTGCAGATCCGCGTCGCTATCCAGGAGGCCGAGGATGCGGAGGAACTGGAGGACGACAAGGAGGGGGTGGAGACGCGGCGCTCGGGGGACCTGGCCCGGTTCCTAAGCCCTGGCTGGGGCAGCGCCAGCGAGGAGGAGCCGAGCCGCGGGCACAGGTAGGCACGGGCCCGGGAGGGACAGCGCGCGACAACTCCGCAGGCAGGGGCACCCAGTGCGTCCCGGTGCCTGGGGACAGCTCCGGGCCGTCCCAGAGTCCGAACAGGAGGGCAGTCGGTGTCCCAGACCCCAGCTTGGGGACCCGACAAGGACTTGGGACAGGGAACCCGAGGGGCCCAGATGTGGAGGTGCCTGGGGTCCCGGAGGGAGAACTGCACGGGTCATCTTTGCTGGCCACCCCCTTGTCTGCAGGAGTCGCCCCCCATCTTTGAGCTAACCCAGACATTCCCCTTAATGCTCATCCCATTCCTCCTGAGCCTGGGCCACCTACCCATGCAGAAGGGTCCCCATGAAGCCCTCGGTGCCCTCGTCACTGTGTTTGCTTACCGGCCGAGATGCTTGGCTCTGACTCTGGGTAGAGCAGGCCGCCCACCTTCACCCCCACCCCAGCCCTGATGTGTGATTTCATGAGAACTCTCTCTTGACCTGGTTTGAGATGAGCGGAGGGCTAGGCTGTGCTACCCACTCCACTCCTTTGGCAACTATGGGCTTCACCTACCCTGGGCTGGAAGTGCCTGCATCTTCGTTTGCTGCCTGCCCTGGGTTCCTAGTTCTAGGGTGACTTGGAGCTGCTGTGGCACCTGTCACCCTTGCCTCTGGGTCCTAACCCTGTCTTCAGCCAGACCTAGGCTGAGTCCTAGGCTGCATCCCAAGTGCCCAGGCCTTTCAGGACTGCGCCTTTGCTCCTGCTGTAAAGGAGCTAATAGTATGGAGGATCTACGGAAAGGAGAGGAGGGCAACCGAGAACCTGCAAAGTCTAGGAAATGCCAGCAGGTGGTCAGCAAGAGCCCTCTTTCTCCTGAGGCTTCGGTACATCTGGCTGCAGCTGCAGGATCATCTCCTGGTGGGCGAGTATCTACTTGTACTGCTATGAGGATTCTGAGGCCAGAATCACGCCTTTTAGCTGAACCTCAGTAAAAGGATCTGGGTTTGGGGGCCCAGGGATTCAGGGCAAACTAGAGGAGATAACTGGGTATGGGGTAAAGAAGTCAGTCCCCACAGCTTAGGCAAGTAAGGTAGGACACTGTGAGTCTCTTGGCACCACATCCCCTGAAAAGCCTGATTCATGCAGCTCTGTGTTCAATACCGACAGGATGAAAAGGATGAACCTGTAGGCAGACTGAGGCTGGAGAAGGCACCCACGGAGTCCAAGAACTTAGCTGTTGTGCAGAGTAGATGGGAGGGGTTTTTCCTTCTGACTTTGCTTGCTTGTGGTTGTGGCAAAAAGCCGAGTCTTTCTTGGAGATTAAATTAGCCAACATGCAACCTCTGCTTATTTCCTGGCTCTAGAAAGATCCTCTGTGGAGGTCTAGGAGAAACTCATCCTCCTCCAGGGTGAGCCTCTTGCCTCACCCCTTGGAACTGCCCATCCCAGCCCCAGCAGCGTGAGGATCCCAGACCACTGGATTTGAAGTGAATCCTGCCACCAGCAGGCCTAGAGCCCGGCTAGAAGCTCCCTGGGGCTCTCCAAGGTAGAGAAGGTGTAGTGCCAGAGCCCAGCAGACAGGCATCCATGGCTTGAGGGGCTGCAGCCAAGAAAAGGACCAACGCTGCCCCACTTGGGCCCTGCCTGGTATAGCAGCAGGCACTGCCCTGTGGGAATGTTCCTACTCCCCACGCCTACAAGAAAAAGCCCGGATTCCTAAGTCAGCTTGTTAGCAAGTCGCACCCACCTCCACTGTCCCCGGAGCCTATGGGCTCCTTCCCTGCCTGTCTCATCTCATACTCCATAAATCCTGTCCCCACTTAGTTCACCAAGCAGGAGCCTGTCTGGGGCCTCCCCACCTCATGCTTCCACCTCTCTGTCCTCTGATGGATAGGCTGAGTTCTGAGCAGGTAGTGCTTAGACTTCACTGAGGCTTTCCACCGCCCTAGCCCCTCTGCTCAGCTCAACTTGGTTCCTCTCTACTGTGCGGCTGTGTACTGTACTTCCTAGGCTAGCACTCATTGTGACTGACTCCATAGTTCTGTCTCCCTCTCAGGAACAGGGTATTGTGGAGTCGGGACTGGCTGGCCTTGTTCTCACTGTGTCCTCAGCACCCAGCCTAGCACCCAGCATGTAGCAGGAGCTCTGTGAATATTCAGTGAGTGGTTGCAGAGCTCGGAGCACACTCGCTTCCCCTTATTGAAACCGTATGTCCCCTCCCCTAGAAAGTAAGAGTCTGAAGGCACTGCGTTGCTGTCACCCTGTCCCTGTCTCTAGTACCTTGGCCAGCATCTGGCTTACCCTAGGGATCAAGGATTAAATGAACAACAAGGGAAAATATAACTTCTAAATTTCCATCAGTTTTCTCCCCACATCATGCTTGTTTAAAAAGCCTTTCCTTTTATTTTTACATTTTTAGCATAGAAATTTTCAAACATAAAGAAAATGTAAAAAACCAGGACTGTCAGTGATCCTATATCCACCATCTGGATGTATCAATTACTATGGATACAATTATAATGATTCGATGATATATAATGTGTAGGGTTTCCCCTGAGCAATTGAAAATATGTTCTATACAACACTTGTATCCCCCAAATAATTCATTTTGTAACTCCTAATAATGACATTCCCAGCTGGGCATGGTGGCAGATGCCTGAATCCCAGCCCTTGAGAGGCTGAGGCAGAAAGAGCACCATGTCCAAAACCATCCAGGTCTCCATAGTGGGTTGAAGGCCAACCTGAACAATATAGTGAAATCCTGCCTTCAGAAAAAGGAATTTTTAAATTCCCTATAACCATGACAATTTATTTCAGCTAAAAATTTTAACACTGATTTCCTAATGTAATCCCTAAGACAATCTAATAGCTGAATTCCATGTTCAGATTTCCCCTGGTTGTCTTTTACAAAGGCTTCTTTTATCTTCAAGCCAGAACCAGTTCAATCCAGTTTGACACATTTGCCTGTCTCTATAAAATCTTTTAGGCTAGACCAGTGGTGACACATGTACCTAGGTGGGGTGTTTATATCATTGAAAGTTCTAAAAGGTTCTCTATCACTGGACTAGACCATTCCTACTTCTTTTTTTCTATTTTGGACATATAAGGTCAGATATCTACTGAACGTTCACTTTTTGGATTGATTGCTCTGATGATGTCCTCATGGTTTTGTTGAGCTTGTTCCTCTGTTCCGTGTACTTCTTGTAAAGTAGCAGTCATGGCTGAAGACTTGACTCCTTCAGATTGAACATATTAGCAAGAGCACTTGAGAGGCTCTTCCTTGAACATTATGTTGTATCACGTGTTGTCACCACAGCAGAAGACATTTGGTAGTGGAGATTTCTCCATCCTATGGGCATGTCTTTCCTTCGGCAATGAACAAGTTACTTGTAGGCTTTTTGCCTTTTGTTCTGTCAATGTGATGTGGCATATTTATTGATCTGAAAAGGTTGAATCATCCTTGCATCTTAGGGATAAATTCCACTTGATCAAGGTGAATGATCCTGTTAATATCTATCTATCTATCTATCTATCTATCTATCTATCTATCTATCTATCTATCCATCCATCCATCTCTACCCATGGGACCCTACTGTGTTACCCAGGCTAACCCCAAACTCCAGCCCTCAAATGATCATTCTGCCTCAGTCTCCCCAGTAGCCACGGCTATTACTATATTGGTGCGTGCCATCATCCATCTGGTTTATGATCTTTTTAATGTGCTGTTGAATCCAGTTTGTTAATACTTTGCAATGGAGTTTTGCATCTATGCACATCAAGAATACTGGCCTGTAACTTTCTTTTCCTTTAGTGCCCTTGTCTGTTTTTGTTGTTGTTGTCTGTTTGTTTGTTTTTATGTATTTGGTACAGGGTCTCACTACTCAGCTCAGACTCATAGTGATCCTCCTGTTTTCAGCCTCTCCAGCACTGGGATTACAGGGGTGCAATACCATGCCTGGACCCTGTCACTGTCTCAGCACACTTGGAGGCTGGTCCGGTGTGGCATGCAGTACCAGGGATCAAACCCTAGTCCCTGTGCTTGCCTAAGCAGGCAATTAGTCTGCCGAGCTATCTCGCCAGCCTTCCTTGTCTGGTTTTAATATTATGGCAATACTGGACTCATAGAATGAACTTGGAAATATTCCCTCCTCCTCAATTTTCTTTTTGTGAGAATTTGAAGATTGGTATTCATTCTTCCTTAAATGTTTAATAGAATTCAGGAGTGAGGCTGTCAGATCTTGGACTTTTCTTTGATGGAAGATTTTTGATTCCTAATTCAATCTTCCTACTTCCTATGGGTCTATTTAGATTTTCTCTTTCTTCACAATTCAGTCTTTGTGTGTGTCGGTTCTTCTAGGGCAGCGATGGTTACCCTTTTAGAGCTTTCAGTGATACAGACCTCCTGCTGAATCCCGTGTGCTCTAGGTTCTACTCCAGGGTGTCTGGTCTTCTTGTGACTTTTCTTGCATCGGAGACTTTCACCTCACTCTGTGGCACCCTCCTTGCTGGCGTCAGTCTCTTTGCTGAGGATTGCTAGTTGGAGACTTTCTAATTGTTTTCATTCTGTACACACTTATTGGCTAACCTTCTTCTGTAAAAGAGAACTTTGCCTCATCATCTAGATGAACGGAGGGCTTCCCCCAAGGGAGCAAGAAGAAATCATTACTTCCATTTAATTACCAATTTTCAAAGATAGCGGTTGGGAGACTGGGCGTGGTGGCGCATGCCTGTAATCCCAGCACTGGGGAGGCTGAAAATAGGAAGATCAGTATGAGTCTAAGCTGTGTAGTGAGACCCTGTACCAAATACATAAAGAAGAACAAAAGATAGCAGTTGAGGTAAGAATCACACCAAATAAAGCGATACCTCCATTGTTAAACTCTATACATTCCAAATTCACATTCAGATATTGAAAAGTTCAAAAACTGAATATATTTTCCCCATAAGAAATAATGGAGGGGCTGGAGAGATGG